ACTGATGATCTTCGTCCCCCACACTTTGCCGTTGTCTAATAATGTGAGTTTGCCACCATGCGTCGCTTATGAACGCGCCATCACACTGACGGGTACCCACTCTCCTCATGCCGATATGCTATTTGACGTTCATTGGTGAATAGGTTACGTACACGTCAGGTATAGGGAATCCAATTGTGATATGATAAGTTGAATCAAATCTCACTAGTTTTGGCGTTTCGTCAATTAGCGTGCAAACTCTAGCTGTGTCAATCATTCACTTGCTACGAAGTATGTTCATTATCGAACCGCCCGGCGCGCCAAGTTGACTTTTTTCCGAATCAATTTCCTATGGACGGGGTTTGAAAAAGTCAGTTTTGTCATTAGGTCGAAAAAAACTTTTCTAGCGAAGATGACGTTTGCAACAATCATATTGGTCGACCAATTTTTTTTGGCCGTATGACGCCCACTATTTTTTGTCATAACAGCCGTAGTCAGCGTTTCGTGGACGCGAAGCAAAGTGACGCAGCTGTAATTGGCCGTATGACGCTCACTATTTTTTGTCATAACAGCCGTAGTCAGCGTTTCGTGGACGCTAAGCAAAGCGACGCAGCCGTAAAACACTGTCTTACAGCCGGAATGACAAAAGCCTTTATTAACAATAATCGATTTTCCAATCGGAACTAAAACTGTGGAAAATTGTCCTAGTTGACGCTGTCAGCATAAACTTGGCATTTTTTAATATTTCCATGGTTTTTCAAAAATAAGATTATATCATAATCAGTTCGCCTACTGTGGAATTTCAACTACTCAGTAATTGTCCCATGTTTCTGTCCTGGAGGCTATCAGATTCACGTCAACTTGGCGCCATTTTTTCACAAAATTTTTTTGTGATTTTACACTAATAAAGGTCGGGAGCACGACTATCCCTGCTATAGAACATCATACGAAAATTTTCATACGAAAAAAAAAACGAATTGGATCTCGTCAATTTTTATATACTCCGTATAATCGTTTTATACTGAAAAATGAATACTTGCAAAACTAATTATTCAGTTATGCTAATTTTCAACACCATCTGCTGCAGTGATAAATGGACAAACTCATCCAAATTTTCAGTTGATAACAGAGGGAGAGCAACAATTTTTTTTCAAAAATTTGAAGAGAGATAACTATCATTTCTTCCACTGATCACTTTCCGATTTCGGAGTGCTTCTAATAGAGTCAATCACGATGAAAAGAAGGGAATTAAAAAAAAACTGAATACCTTGTTCGGTTTGGGAGATATTTCGGAAAAACCCTTTATAAAAAATTGGCTACGAGTTGAATAGCTCAATTGGGAAAGCACCCGAAGTATACACGTTCAGAATTCAAACTCTGGTCTGGACGATCCATTTTTTCAGTAAATTTTCCTTCTAGAATTATATGGGGAATTATCCTATTTCACATTCTACATAAGCCACAATCCTTTCCAACGATTTTCTGCGGCGTCACAAGATGAAGAATGCCATAAATACTTCCCCTCTTCTATGAAAAACGATCTATGAAAGGAATCGACTATGAAAAAGTGACTGCGAGGTGGATAGCCCTGTTGGGAGAGCACCCGATGCATAATTGTGAAAGCCCCGGGTTCAAATCTCATTCTGGACTATCCATTTCTGCAGTAAATTTTTTGTGTCGAATAATGTCGAGGATTATCCTCTTTCCCTTATTACCTGATTTCATAGAAGAGGGGAAGTTTTTATAGTGTGCCACACCATGTGAAATCACAGGAAATCGTTGCAAGAGATTACATTATGGATTATGTTGGGAGTGAAACAGGATCATTTTCGATATAATTTTACAAGAAAAACTTACTGAAAAAATAGATAGTCGAGCTCCAAATTTGAGCCTTGGATCTTCCTATTATGTATCGACTGCTGACCCAACTGACCGATCCGGCTCCTAGCCACTTTTTCAATTCAGATCCCTTGTATATATCGCAGTCCTTCTTATGAAAATCATTTTTTTCATAGAAGAGGGGAAATTTCATTATTGCATCAGCAATGCAGTTTGGAACTGTTTTCGAATAGTGTAAATATTGAAGACATGATATTTGAAATTGTCGCAGGCTGAAGAGAAGACTGAGAATATCAGAAAATCAAAGGATTTTTTCATTGACAGACAAATCAATTGCTGAAAAATCACGTGAGTCAACTGGAAGTAGTGAAAATTGTTAATTACCAGTAGTAGCATTTCAAATTTGTTAAATTTTGTTGGGAAAACTTGAATGTTTGAATGGAAATGCTGATTTTGTTTGATAAAATTTGTGATTGTGATAAAAATTTTATTTTAAAGAAGGAGGAATATTATACTTTAGATTTGGTCAATTGTTGAATATTTGGACGTACAGTATTATTAGCATGACACTTGCCAGCTTAACTGCATTATGCTGATCAAGTGACGAAATATAATCAACTATGTAGTTAAGACACTGTTTGGGTATCGATACATCCCAATTGAACTTTGGCGTCTGTTAGTCCTAATCATTGTAATTAATCACATGATATAGTTAAATGAATAAACTTTCTTATTTAAGTAGCTATAAACTATTGGTGGAATTTATTCCTTCGAGCCTAGAACCTATAGGAAATGTACGGATCCCCCAGGCAGGGTACAACTGCATCTCAGAAAAAAGGACAACGAATTGATCGGAATGATATTTTTATTGTCAATTTTCTATTGGCACTTAGATTCGAATTAAGCAGTTTTGGCCATTCCGAGATTTTCTATCACTTGGAATAACATAAGGAGGTTCAAAGCTATTGTATATTTTCGACAGATTCCTTTCAGACAAATGAAGAAACGAAGGCTTTCAGTTTATAATTTCACGAGGGCTAAACGTCAGTGTTTTGTTCTAAATAACCTGACGAACTCATTTGTATGCAGACCGAGGAAAATGCTTGATAAATTTGAGGCTCGTGTGGTATTCGAGGAACAATTCTTTCAACCGTCCCCTCAGTTAATAAATTTTCACCATGAATTGAAAGTTTGAATGAAGCAATGAAAAATCTATGATCAAAATTGGCGCGATAGTTTGACGAGGATTATTCCAACGCGTAGTATTTCCTCTACAGAGCAAAAATTTGACAAAATTATCAAATAAGGAAATTGCCGATCCTCTTGCCCATTCTTCGTGACCTCGAATGGTTTATTCTATTCTATTGGCTATCGGTAGAAAAATTTTGCTTTCTTATATTTATTCACGTCGATGATGTGATGTATTTCTATGAAGATCCGTGAAAACAGGAATCCGTGAATAACTTGTCGAAATCTCCATTAGAAGCATAAATATAGCAGTCCAGCGAAGTTCTTCCGTTTTGGAAAAGAAAATATGATTTTTACGCCTTCAGTAGAATAAAATTTTTAGGTCAATTCCATTCGTTATCTTTGTCATACATTCAAAATCACATACTTCACATGAGGGGCTGCGTGCCGGAGGAATACGCTTTCGCTTATACAGTGACCATATTGTGGACAACAAAGTACTTTTTTTTTCATGTATTCAACAAGGAAAGTATTATGCTCAACAACTTCTTCAAAATCAAAATAACCTTCGAATATAAGTCTAGAATGCCATCATCGGTTTGTTTGTAATTCAACAATAAATGACTGCGAAACATTTTTTTTGGAATAATGTTCGATTGAATAAACTTATTTCTCAAAATTAATCGACGAATTATGATTGAAAATAGAAACTAAACATTGGCCACAATTGTGAAATAGCCTTGAACTTAATCTGATTTATTGACGGAACGCATATAGCATGCACTCATTAACGAAGTATGAAATTAAAAACTAGGTAATTTCTTTCCTTCGCAGTTTGAACTGGTAAACGTTGGAGCAGAAAAAAAATAAAAATTTTTCAAATATTCAGATATTTTTGATTGATGAAAAAATTTTATTTTCATTTCCCACACGTTCAAAAGAATGAGGAACTAATTTCATAAATACACAAATTTCAAGACAAAAATGATGATATGCAATCTTCATTTTTTGTCGAAAATAACTAATATGCAACCTCCGAACCATAAAAAATTGACAAAGATCGGATTAAACTATTACTGTTATCCGTAATTATATCTATTATAGTTCATTTCTTTCTGATTCGTTCAGGAATGAACGAATTGACGAACAAAATTACGAAGTGGAAAAATCGAGAAAATGGAAGACAATTTTCCATTCTTCGGCCACACTATATTTTTTAGAAAAAAAAATTCCGAAGGTGGCTTTCGCGTACAGTGGTTGTACTAGGAGATTGGTTATTTTTAAAGCGATTTGCAATAATCGATAATTCGTATCTCTGCTTCAGCCTCCTGGTTATGTAGCTATAGATATCGCGGTGGTATCTTCGATTTTTTTGCAGGTTTCTTTCCTTTTCTTCCTTATTACGCAATACCCATTTCACTCCTACTGCTAGGATGGAAATAGAATAATTCCAGGAGGCTTACGCAAAGGTACAGTTTCTTATAGTTACCATAGCCATTAACACGGAAAAAATTTTAATTTCATTGTCCAAATAAAAAATGATAATGATATAACAAATTAACAATGAAGAAGCAACAAAAACTGAAGCATACTCTAGTAGTTCATTGGTTCGCGTTATCAGAGAAAACCCTCAATAATTGACCGTAGAAACATTAAGTAAAAGTTATCAAATATGGGAAACATAAATGAATATGCAGAGAATAGTGCCTAATTTCGGAGTGAAACATGAATTAACGGAATATAAAATATGACACATTTTTCCTCACTCTTATAGAAACCTCAGAAATTCGGTAGGAAGAAAAAAGAGTGGAAAAAATAGTCCACACATCCAAAACATGTTAAAACCCACCCAAATTAATGAACCATACGAAGTTTAACATGGGTCTATTTTTTTCTGTGGTCTATTTCTTCAGGGACTCAGGTAATTTAGCTTTGATTGTTTCTTTTGGGAAAGGATTCGCCTGCTGGGTTTGGCAACAGAAACATTACCATACCTCTCGTGAAGTTCTCAATCCTTTCAGTATTCCGTTTTCTATAAGAATGGCACAAAAATTTATATTTCTCACAGTCAACATGATTGCGAATAATTCATTCATAACAAAGGCTATTAGTTAACACTAGCTGATTACCTGTGGTACTTTAAAAAACGCAGGGCACGACAGCATGGTCATGTCGTACCGTTGTACCGTATGTGATCGTTCGATCAAAACTAGACTAGTAGAGTGCTCCGATGTTCTCCATTAACCGATGCTCTGGAGTTGCGTCGACGCTGTTCCAATGACGGGAACGCAGGCGCGGCAGGATATCTTGAATATCTCCCTTTTTTTTCCAACTTTACCACCAGACCGTAAGAAAAACGATAGGAATGGAGTCAATATGCCATGCGGTCAATGGAAGACAATTGGAATTTTCGAGCTATATGATCAGCTCAATTGTTTATTTGAGATATTGTTTCATGAGTCTCAATGAATTCTTCATCTGTGTAGAAGCTAAGAATGACAGTTTGTTGCGAGTGCATTACTGTTTTTTAAGAGACTACAAAAGGGTAATGTATTATTGATTAGAAGGCTTCACCGATTTTCATTCAATAGCTCGTTCGTCTCTAATTAAATTGTCTCAAACGGGCAATAATTGATATGACAGACTACTTACTTCTGTGCCCTGTCCTTGAAGGTTAATTAGTCAGAAATTCCTACAAATTATTAAAAAGCTATCTAATATTATCGAGTAATTTCAATATTTCGAGACATGTATAAAGGAACTGCAAAAATCGAGAATAATTGATCCAAACATAAAAAGTAAATGAAGAAAAGTATTCGAAAAGTCGATATTTGTTATACAAAGTTTCAAAGAATAGATGAAATTGTGGGATTGTGGCATGAAGAAACTGGGTGTGTTACTGTTTAAAACTTACTCTATTTTTCATTAATTTATAACTCTGAGTTTTCTGCTAACTCTTATTTTGGACGTTTTTATATTTGGCCACGCAGATTGGGCACCTCATTCGAATTCTTGATGTTTCCACTATTGAATTTGCTGCCTGTAATTATGTTAAAAACTTTTTCTGGACCCTTCAAACTTTTGACTTATTTTATTGCGGTTTTGTGTTTTGAACTGCGAATATTAAAAATTATGTATACACTTTTTGTTTCTATCATACCACTTACCTCAAACTACCTTCAAATTTTCGGATGTACTTTGATGTATCAACAATGAAGATGCAATTGAACATTTCAAAGCAGGAATTCCCATTTCCAATTTGAACTCGTATTTCCCGATTGAAAATTACAATTTCATTAAAATTTGAAAACATACAATTTTGAATATTGACTTTTTGCATCTGTTCCTCAAGGTGATAAATCTACCAATAACTAAGCAATGAATGATCCACACGTTTCAATTCACCGAATTAATTACGAACGGTATATTTTCAGGCGTACACTCTGATGAGGGATATTTTTGGACCCCCGCCCTCTTTTCACTTTCCAAATATACAAACACGTTTAGAATAATAATAATTGCCTTATTACTATCTTCGCGAAATTGATTCCATTATATATCCTCCACCTCCCCTTCAGCTCACAATACTTTCATCGAAAGAATGCCGGCAACACTCGCGAGCCCCATGTGCTCCCCCAAGAAAATCTCCCTTGCGTGAGACATACCATTTTCTTATATTTCTGTGCAGTAATTAATCATGTGCTAATCGACATCATAGGGTCTTTTTGCCCTTTCAAAAATAGACATTCTAACTTTTCATTTTATTATACAAGAATCCTCTCTTTGGCGTGTGGCCAGGGGCTATGGTTATCCTTCTCCTAAGCAATTAAGTAAAACAAGAATTTATCCATTTGTGAGTCAGTTGTGGAAAAACGAAAGAAAAATTCATACTTTTATTGTTTGTATTGAAATCACCCCGGGTCTCAATGGGGAAACCTTTTCCTTACTTCAGGCCCTCCGTAATTGATTGCAGTTGTTATTTTTGTATCGTTTTCTCGGTAAAAATATGTTGAATAATATTTACCCCGAAGGTTACAACGTAGATCACTTTCAACAATATTTTTTTTTAATTGTAATGAAAAAAGAATCGCTCATCGACATGCTTACGTACATCCATAAAGTACGTAAATCCATTAAAAATTGCACATTGCTATAGTTGAAGCCGGAATTATTAATCTTCATACAAAACAAAAAGGAAAAAATTGTTATGTAGCATTTTCCAGCATCCCATTTAGTTGAGGAAAACTACCTAGTTGATCGCTTTGGTAAAAGTAGATATGTAATGCGGGTTCTAGATCAACGATTTGGGGCTCGTGAAAGAGTACGTTGACTAGTACTAGGGGGGTCATGTTAAAGTAGGTGCGCGGGTGGTGGTTTCATTTGCAGTTTTATTTATCGATAATTGTGTTTTTGATTAGCGGTTTGATTAATTAATTAATGAATTGATTGATTGATTTTGTTCATTGACAGATAAAAATCAGTTGTTCACCTGAATGGGTGAATGGGTATGGTGTTGGGTGGGGGGGTTGTAGATTAAATGAAACAGTTAATGAATTGGATGGGGTGAATAATAGGTAGTAGTAGTAGTAGTGGTGGTGCGATCGCGGATCAGGGGTTAATATGCGGTTAGCGTTTTTCATTCGCGGTTTTGATTCGCGTCTTTAATTCCCGGTGTGATTGATGAATCGTCGAATCATCAAGTAATTGATGGATCGATCAATTAGTTGATTGGGAGTTAAAAATCAGTTGTTTATTTGATGAGTCCGTGGATGGGTAGGCAGTTCACATATTTCCCCTCGCAGCCGCCCTTTCCCCACCTCCCAAAAACGGGTGTCGGGACCTGGTGAAATACACCTCCTACCCGTCCTGGCGCCACTACGCGTGTTAGAACCTACACTCTTGGCGGGCCTCCTAACCCCACATAAGACTACTAACATGTCGCTGATATTAATGACATGGCTCGCTGGAATTGAAATAATCCAGAGTCGATTATCTGTTTACATATCCGAACGACCCTTTTGACAAGTGGTTTTCAAAAGGTGCGAGGATTCGTAAATACTTGCCATTTTCCCAAGTAAGGCGACATGAGGCTTTGATTACGTTAGGAATATTGATTATACAGCTCGTTAGTGAAGTTACGTCAATGGTCTTTATTCTAAACTTGATCAACGGGGAACATCATGCAGTTTGTCAAGATCGACGCCGTGGGTGAATTGAAAGATCTCGCTTTGGTGAAGCTCTGGGACCTGAATCCCACCTCCTTCTGGAAAATGACAGCGACTCTTAAGGTGAACACAAAATATGGACTGAACATTACAGTCCATCTATCAAATACTCCGGCAGATTTCATTAATAATAGGCTAGCTAAATTCTTTGCTAAAAATGACGAAATGTTCGAGAATTTCCACAAATATAATGCAAAGAGTTCGCCTACATTGCAATATTTAGGTGGAAAATATAACAATGTCACTTTCATCCGCATTTAGACTTGAAGTTTGAAGATTAAGTGAATTTTGGTTTAATCAACGTTAAAGCAGAGATACGAGAACTAACCATCGTCAGGTTATCCCACCTGAGAAAAAAATGTCTTCCATACTATCACAGCAGTCTTCAAAGTCGAGACCAATGACGGCGCGGGAATTATCTTGCATGTGTCAAATATTAACTGCATTTTCACGAATAACTGAGTGATGAAGTTCTTCGCAGATAATGCTATAAAGTTTGAAAATTTGTGCAAGCATATTGAAAAGGGATGTCCAAGCTCCCTGTGTACTGCGGAAACATCCAATGGCTGCATCCACCATTACAGATGAACATTATCGAGCAGTTTTCAACGGCATCAACGGAAACTGAACTGAACTATGATTGAATCACCGATACACCATAATTTCTGTTTCCGAAATCAAGAAAAATCATGGAGCGAGTGTAATGCTGCACCTGGAAAATTCGTTTTCTATTTGCCTACCTGGGAGGCTGTCCAAGTTTTGAATTGGAAATCCAAAGGACTACGTACTTAATCTATCACTATCATAAATATTATTATTGTTATTATTATATGAAGAAAAGTTCGATATAATAATTTTTATGTTTCAAAGCCAACATATACGCGCATACATACACATATACTCACGCGCAGGTCGGAGGAGAGAGCCGACAGCATCCGGCTTTGACAGTTATTGTGGGATGTCTCGACGGAAGGGAGAAAGACACATCGCCTTATTCCGCCGCTGGACGCCCGACTGAACTGGACTCACGAAGAGGTAAATTATTACCTGACACAGATGTGCATGTATTTTTCGTGTATCCCTACTTCCATATCACCGCAGTACGTCGGAAATATTATTCGAAGAAAGGATGTTGCCGGAAAACCTGGTAAAAGCAATGCTTGCATCAGAGAGAGCCGAGGAAGCAACTAGTTCCTTCACATTGGTAGGCCACACAAAACTCCAGCGTGAATAACAAGAAACAAAAAAAAGGGAGAAATAGAATTCACAGGAAGGAAGTACTGACGTCACACATCAGAAGGAATAGCTATAATCTCCCTCTCGTACAGTAATGCCGGACAGCGATTCCGCGGAGAGCATGAGGCTAAAGGAGTTTATGTTTCAGTTTAGTCGGTATTGGTTACGTTAATCCGAGTCCGACATACCACCTTGCAATTTCTCCAACAGTGGATGCATAGAAGCGTTCTGTTTTGAACTAAATAAAACACACATATCTGTTCGTATACTACACTCTGTACACTACACGACCATATCCAGCATGGTCTCGTATTATTGTCTAACGGTCCTCACGAGCGACCAACCAAAATCGCATCTGGGTCAGAAGTTCCGGTGATGAGTTGCTCCTTTGCAAGCAATACACAAAGCTTGTTGACGGTTGAGAGTTTTGACGGAAAGTGACTCCGAAAATGAACAGTTAAATTTCTCTAAACATTGCAACCGTCACCAAAATGTATCAAAAGTCCATCTGACATGTCGAACTATGTACACGAGCGTAGTTGCAACTATCGTCTGGTAGGAAACGATAAATAAGGGAAACACCAGAAGGTCTAGTAGAAAATAAAATCTGTCTTTTTATATAGATTTTTCTAGCATCATGCCTGCCCACTCCAACCTGTGTGTGGGAACCATAGATGCTCTTTTTGTAGCCCCTCTTTTTCTCTAGGCACTCATTTTCATTATACACCTCAATTTGA